GACACCTGGGACAGGTGAGGACATTGGGGGACACCCAGGGCAGGACAGGTGACACTGCCAGGTGACACCTCTGGAGACACCTGGGACAGGTGGGGGACATGCAGAGGGACACGGGGGGGGGGACAGGTGACACCCCCAGGGATACCTGGGACAAGTGGGGACATGGCGGGACACCGAAACAGGACAGGTGACACCTCCAGGTGAGACCCGGCAACAACAGGTGACATTGGGGTCACAGGTGGGACAGGAAGGTCCCGCAGGTATTTGGGGGTCACTGTGGGGACATGGGGGAGGTCACAGGTGGGTGGGGCCTCCCCAGGTGAGACTGAAGACCACCAGGTGAGACCAGGTGAGACAGGGGGACACGGTGGGACACAGAACAGGACATGACAGGGAGGTCACAGGTGGGTGGGGCCACTCCAGGTGAGACCGAGGCCCACCAGGTGACACAGGGGGACACCTTGGCCACACAACCAGATGTGACAGGGGCGTGACAGGTGGGTGTGGCCATCCCAGGTGAGACTGAGGCCCACCAGGTGAGGCAGGTGAGACAGGAGGACACCTGGGACACAACCAGATGTGACAGGGGCGGGGTCACAGGTGGGTGTGGCCATCCCAGGTGAGACCAGGTGAGGCAGGGGGACACCTTGGGACAGACAACAGGACGTGGGGGGGGGACAGGTGGGTGGGGCTGCCCCAGGTGAGACAGGGGGACACCTTGGGACCCACAACCGGACAGGACAGGGGCCCAGGTGAGACTGAGGCCAACCAGGTGAGGCCACGTGAGACAGGGGGACACCTGGGACACAAAACTGGACACGACAGGGGGGTCGCAGGCAGGTGAGGCCACCCCAGGTGAGGCCAGGTGAGACAGGGGGACACCTTGGCCACACAATCAGATATGACAGGAGGGTCACAGGTGGGTGGGGTCACCCCAGGTGAGACGGGAGGACACCTGGGACACACAACAGGTGGCACAGTGAGGCCATGGGCGGGGTCACAGGTGGGTTGGGCCACCCCAGGTGAGGCCAGGTGAGACGGGGGGACACCTCGGCCGCACAGGCGCACACGCTGGGGGCAGGCAGGTGTGCGGGCAGGTGCGCTCACCTGTTGAGGTCGCGCACGAGGTAGGGCTGCAGGTCGGCCGAGGGCCCGCGCAGGACCAGCCCCTTGGGGGGCAGGCGCTCGCCCTGGCTCGGCTGCCGCTGCAGGTGAGGGTTCCGCAGAGCCACGCTGATGTCGGTCAGCAGCCGCGGCAGCGGGCCCAGCTTCAGCAGCGCCTCCTGCGGGACAGGTGAGCACACCTGAGTGCACCTGAGAACACCTGGGCACACCTGAGTGCACCTGGGCACACCTGGGATCTCATACAGGGGAACCCCATTGACTGTGACAGGGCCCAGCTTCAGCAGCGCCTCCTGCGGGACAGGTGAGCACACCTGAGTGCACCTGAGTGCACCTGGGCACACCTGGACACACCTGGGCACACCTGGGCACACCTGGGATCTCATACAGGGGAACCCCATTGACTGTGACAGGGCCCAGCTTCAGCAGCGCCTCCTAAAGGGGACAGGTGAGCACACCTGAGTGCACCTGGGCACACCTGGGATCTCATACAGGGGAACCCCATTGACTGTGACAGGGCCCAGCTTCAGCAGCGCCTCCTAAAAGGGACAGGTGAGCACACCTGAGTGCACCTGGGCACACCTGAGTGCACCTGGGAACACCTGAGTGCACCTGGGCACACCTGGGATCTCATACAGGGGAACCCCATTGACTGTGACAGGGCCCAGCTTCAGCAGCGCCTCCTAGAGGGGACAGGTGAGCACACCTGAGTGCACATGGGAACACCTGAGCGCACCTGGGAATCCCTGGGTGCAGCTGGGAACACCTGAGAGCACCTGGGAACACCTGAGTGTACCTGGGGTATCACCTATGGGAACCCCAGTGACTGTGACAGGGCCCAGCTTCAGCAGCACCTCCTGCAGGACAGGTGAGCACACCTGGGCACACCTGGGGAAAGTCGTCCTCCCCATGAGCACCACCCAGGTGAAG